CTCAGAGAAGCAGAATATTTTCTACAGCTTGGTAAGTTGTGGTGTGGAGGTTTGAAAGCAAGTAGTCATGGCTCTTTCTGCTATTCCAAACTTCCTAAGCTTGGAAAGACTGAATGAGATGAAAATGTTCATAAAACATTCGGTTACCTTTTCCTCTCCTCTTAGAAGTCACCATGTTCAGCTTAAGGATGAGAAAAACTGGTTATCGGTTACTTCTCTATTTTCTTGTCCTATTTTTTTTTTTTTACCCTAATAGTATCTGAGTGCCTTCTAGAAGCTACAGTTTAAACTATTTTGTTGCTGAATTTTGTCGAAGCTCTAAGTGAACAATACTCAGCCTTCCTTTAAAAGCTGAATCTTGAGGATTCAGATATCTGGGACAAAGCTTTCTAGGCATTTTTTGAGCTTTCTTTCTTTCTTTCTTTCTTTCCTTTCCTTCTTTCTTCCTTCCTTTCTCTTCCTTTCTTTTCTTCCTTCCTTCCCTTTCTTTCTTTCCTTTCTTCCTTCCTTCTTTTCTTTCTTTCTCTCTCTTCCTTTTCCTTCCTTCCTTCCTTCCTTTCTTTCTTTCTCTTCCCCTTCTTTCCTTCCGTCCGTCCGTCCATTTTAGCTGAGCCATCCTGCCACCTGTTGGCTGCTCAGCTCGGGCCGGGAATCGAACCGGTGTTGCTCAGAGCTCAAACTCTTGAGCGAGCTCTTAACCAGCTGAGCCACTCGGCCGGCCCTTGTGCATCCCTTTTAAAACGTCACCACCATCATTTACTCAATATTTTAGAGGGAGTATGGTTTTTATTGTTCCCATGTCTGCCTGTCCAAATACATCAAGGCTTGGCTGAAATGCTTTCTCTTTAGGAGACCTTTCCTCGCCCATGTCTATTCCTTAACCCCCATTACTTTCTGGGTTTACATAAAGCTTAATCCCCTAGTAAGTGAGAACAGAGCCTGCATTCTAATCAGCTGTATCCTTCCCATGGTGCTGAGCGAATGCCTTCAGCACAGAAAAGCATCTGCTCTTCTCCATGGGATTGTCTGTCCTCAGTCAGCCTGTCAGTAGCTTCAGAAAGCAAAGAACTAGGAACTTTATAACTATTATGCAACCCTAGAAGTGCTTTACAAGAATGATTTTCAACATTATTAAAGTTTCAAATTTTATAATTAGCAGTTAAAAATCTGCCAGTGCAGAGTCCTGTGATGATAGAACTAAATTATCTCCAATTTCACTTTGAAACGACAAGTACAAGATGACACCCGTTGCAGCCTGGTGTTTTGCATTTTGCCTCTTTCCCATCTGGCCCCTGCCCACACTATATGCTCTAGCTCCTGAGTTATCTTCTTATTTATATCGTACAGAAATCTGCTTTCCCCAAAATGATGCCACATGGACAATTCCTATGTAGTTTTCAGAGCTCTCCATGTGGACTGATTCTGCATCAGTCAGAGAAGGAATCATGTTTTTGTAGGAAGGTCCAGTTCATGAAGGCTGGAGAGCCTGCCTCTGGTGTCACTCTCTATCAAGGACCCTTTTAATGGGGTTTGTATTTTCTCACTCAGTTTTAGTAGTGGTAAGCATATAATGGATTGAAGAGCTACTGCAACCATGGACTTCTTGTTGAAAAAAATACTGATCTGGGAGGGAGAGCCCAAGCGTTGATATGTTTTGGTATTCTGTGGAAACAAACCACCACATTGAGTGGAATTTGGGAGGCAGTCAGCAGCAGAAAGGCCCAGTTCAAAACCTAACAGCCTCTTTCTCTTCTAGGCTTCATTTACCACATCTTTAAAATAAAAGGAAAAGCCCATTAACAATTAGTAAAAACCCCAAATAAAAGCTACGGCAATAGCTAGTAATAAATGTAAGAACAGAGAAAGGAAACAGGGAGACAGTATTGGAATAAAATGAGAATAGCATCTTTCAGCTGAAAATGCAATGACACCTGGACCCACCCATCCACACCCACACACATCGGTACTAGTTATTACATAACCCCCAGAACAGTGCAGGGAAAAAGGAATTACTAAAATGGATAGTTTCTTGCCATTCTGATGTGGCCTTTAAGCATGTGGTCTCTTAAAGAAAAAACAGAGGCAACCAGTTTTACAGTTGACCCTACAGTATTTGGGAAAATGAAAGCCGTATGTCAGGTTAGAACCACTGAGTTATATAGGAGCCACAACTCCAGGATGGGAAGACTGCATACGGCACAGGCAGCCCTTCTTTACTAGCCAGAAGTCTCTTGGGGCCAAAGGAAGAACCCTACACATCATCTACGTCTACCCTGTCCTGGGAGAGTCACAGCCAGAGGCAGTGGAGAGAAGTGTAATGGGCCCAGCATGAACAGGATGTACGGTTCTATAATTTTCTAAAACAGTGTGATTAGAAAGGGCAGAATCTGCAATCGCTTATGAGTATAAAAAGAAAAATATTGGAAACATGGATGAATCTTGAAGATTTTATGCTAAGTGAAATAAGACCATCACAAAAGGACAGATATTGTATTATTCCACTTACACGAGGAATGTGAGTAGTCAGATTCAGAGACAGACAGCAGAATGGTGGTAGCGAGAGGCTGGGGGTAGGAAGGAGTGGCAGTTACTGTTTAGTGGGGACGGAGTTTCAATTTGGGAAGATGTAAAAGTTCTGGAGATGGATGGTGGTGAAGGTTACACAACAATGTGTAAGGGACGCACTTAATGCCACTGAACCATACACTAAAAATGGTTTATGTATATTTTACCACAATTTTTTTTTTAAATCACTGAAGAAGTCAATATGGAAAACGAAAAACTGAATATTAAAGAAAAAGACAGAAATTTTTTTTCATTGAAGAGATAAGTATGTATATCCAAGCTGAAGGTCGACATTAAGGACAATCCCGTGAGTCCTATGAAAGGACAACCACACACAGTTTTAAGAACACTGTCAGGTTACCGCATAGCTCTCCTCCACTCGATGCCAGACCAGCTCTTCCAGACTTGCCAGTACTGAAGCGTCTCTCTTTTTTCAGCTTTGCCCAGCCCTGTCATTCATAATAGACGAATGAAAAGTCCCAGAAACCTGTTCTGTTTGGGAAGGTTTTCTTTTGTTCTAGGCTTCGGTGGTTAATATGCTTGACAAATTTAAGAGTCTCTCTATCTCTGTAGACCAATGCCAAAGAATTGTTTTCTGGATTCACCGTGAGCAGCTGAAATAGGCAAATAGAACAGCACATCAGAATGTGGAGCTTATCTCAACTCTCTCCAGTGAGTCACTTCTGAACAGATGGCTTCCAGTCATATCAAGAACTTAAGATTGGGGACGGGACAAGAGAGATCCTTTACTAGGAAGACCTACTGCTCTGGCTGTCAAGACATTTTCCAACAAGCCCCAGAAAGGTTTTACCTAATGCATTTACTTCTTACTACATTGAAAGATGAATGGGAATGGACCACATGGCTCTTAGTTTATTTGGAATTCCTCAGGGTAGAATAAACGCTTAGTGATTATTCTTTAGCATCTTTATTCCATGCTGAGTACATTCTACTAGAAATCACACCACTGCCAGGCAGACCAGCATGGAGTTGTCAGTTAAAGACACTGGTAGAAGGTCATAAAAATTGGGTTTTTGAAGAATGAAAGCATCCTCAAGAGCTAAAAAGATAGTTTGCTAGCAGAAGCCACTTACCTCTTCATCTTCACCTTTGGCAATGTAGGAAGTAAAGCCACCATAGTCTGGCTCCCAGCCTTACAAGGGGAAAACAAACAGCATTCAGAAAGTTCTCAATGCAAGACTTACATCATCTGCTTAAATCACTGACCCCATGCTGCTTAAAACGGAAGGGTCTGGGAGTTCAGTAGTAAACAACTCTATGAGCCTGACTTTACCATTCCGTCAACATTGAATAAGAACTGAAAATGAAGAATGATATGTAAAATGTACTTGGAAGGACAATTACACAAGGGCTACAGGTTAGGGAGGAGGCGTTCTTGGAAGGAAATTGTGGTTCAGTCCATCTCCCATACCCTAGTCAAAGATCTAAATCCTACTGTGAGTTAGAATGAAATTCATGACCCCTAAGACCCCTTCCATCGCTGAGCTCCTGTGATCTGAGCGCCTGGCCAAGGCAAATACTTCTGAATTGGTTCAGCTGGAGAGGGGCACCCAGGACAGACGGCCGCTCTTCAGGAAACACCGCTGTCTGCCTCCCTTTTACCTTCACAGCCACAGTAAAGAAGTAAGTCCAGCGCAAATTCAGTCTTGTTGTTGTCATGGATTAAAGTGTAGTGACCAGTCTTCCAATGCCGCAGTTCCCCCTGGCATGTGGGAACACTTGATTCTAAGGAAAAACAAGGCCAGAAAAACAATTCAAATAACCTTGATACCATGCTAGACTGCAAGGGAATGACAACTGGGAATGATGCAGCACTCATGGGAAACCACTGCCATGAACCTTCAGCTGACCTATTGTTCCACCAAGTTAGCCTTAAATGACTGTCAGAAATTACCAGGTGTGACTATTTAGAGACAAAAAGAAGTCGACTCTCTAGTTCTCCCTTTACAGTAAATTTCAGATGGAGTACTTAGCTGCCAAAAATAAAAAAAAAGAATATTATTTTTAATAGACTATTTTTAGAGCAATTTTAGGTTTACAGAAAAACTTCCTAGAAAGTACAGTTTCCATACCACTGTCCCCCAGTTTCCCCATTATTAACATCTTCTCTTAGTGTGATGTATTTGTTACAATTGATGAATCAATATTGATACATTATTATTAGCTAGAGTCTATAGTTTGCATTAGGGTTCACTCTTTGTGTTGTATATTTTATGGATTTGATAAATGTATAATGTCAAATGCGTAATGTGTCCATTATTACAGTATCATACAGAGCAGTTTCACTGCCACTAAACCCCTGTGCTCCACCTATTCGTGCCTGTTTCCCCCAACTCCTTCCAACCACTCTCCTTAGTTTTGCCTTTTCCTGAATCTCATATAGTTGGGATCATACAACATGTAGCCTTTTTAGACTGGCTTCTTTCACTCAGTAATATGCATTTAAGTTTCCTCCATGTCTTTTCATGGCTTGATAGCTCATTTCTTTTTAACTTCATCTTGTTGCAGTTAGAGAAGATACTTCGTACGATATCTTTTAAAATCTACTGAGACATAATTTATGGTCTAACATATAGTCTATCCTGGGAAATGTCCCATGTGCACTTGAGAAGACTGTGTATGCTGTTGTTGGGTAGAGTATTCTGTATATGTCTGTTAGATCTCCTTGGTTTATTGTGTTAAGTTATTTACATTTTAGATTCAAATGTCCAGTATTCAACGACAATCACAAGGCATAGAAAAAAACAGTTAAGTTTGGTCCATTCAAAAGGAAAAAGTCAAACTGTCCCTGAAAAAGACCTGATGTCAGATACACTAGAACGGGGGTCGGCAAACTTTTGAGACCGAAGAGCTGCCAGAGGTCAGCAAACTGCGGCTCACGAGCCACATGCAGCTCTTTGGGTACATACATGTGGCTTTTAAGTAAAATTGAAAATGAAAATAAAACTATCATAGTTTCATTTATAACATCACTTTAAATTTTCCTTATTTGTAAAAATATATTTATGGCTCTCGAATAATTTTTAAATTGTTGTGAGGGACAGGATTGGATCTTCAGGGGTCGGCAATCTTTTGGGACAGAACGTACCCAAAGAGCCGCATGTGGCTCGTGAGCCGCAGTTTGCCAACCCCTGAGCTAGGAGAAAACTTTAAAACAACTGTCTTAATAAAGATGATCAAAGAACTAAGAGAATGTGGAGAAAGTCAAGGAAACAATGTATTAAAAAAATGGAAATATCAATAAAGAAAGCAGAAACTTTAAAAAGAAACCAAAAAGAGATTCTGGAGCCGAAAAGTACAATAACTGAAATGAAAAAATTAACTAGAGGGATTCAAAGGCAGATCTGAGCAGGCAGAAGAAAGAATCAGCATACTTCAAGATGGGATAATGGAAATTACCAAGACTGAGGAACAGGAAGAAAAAATATTGGAAAAAAGTAAGTAGAGCCTAACGGACCCGTGGGAACCATCAAGTGGACCACCAGATGCATTGTGGGAGCCTGAAAAGGAAGAGGGAGAAAGAAAGGGGCAGAGAGAATATTTAAATCAATAATGGCTAAAAACTTCCCAATTTTTATGAAAGACATGAATATAAACATCTAAGAAGCTTAATGAACTCCAAGTAAGACAAACTGGAAGAGACCCACACCAAGATACCGTAAAATTAAACTTTCAAAAGACAAAGAGAATCTTGAAAGTAACATGAGAGAAGCCAATCACATACAAAGGATTCTTATCAGAAATCTGTGGAGGCCAAAAGGAAGTGGGCTGGTATATTCAAATGCTAAAAGAAAAAATACTGTCAACCAATAATCTTATATCTGGCAAAACTGTCTTCAAGAGTGAGAGAGAAATTAAGACATTCCCAGACAAAAGCCGAGGGAGTTCATTATTTATATGTGTATATATGTATATGCCTACGTAGCAAAAAAGACTGGAAGGATATATTTCAAATGTTAATAGTGGCCACCAATAGGTGATTATTTTCCTTTTACTTATTTTCAAAACATTCTGAAATTAATGTTATTTTTTATATATTTTTTTAAAAACAGAAACTTAAAATTGTCAGGTCTGTAATGGTCTGGGTGTCTTACTGAATGTGCCCTAGCTATGCCAACATTAACACTGCTATTACATGCCTTAGCAACTTCATAGCTTTTACTTTAAAAAGCTTTACAGCTTTTCTTTAAGATGGTAAACTTGTAAACAGTGGCTTTTCTCATTTACATTTGTTTTCCCGACTCAGCTCTGGCCCAAGGCCTTGCATACAGTAGATGCTCAATAACAGAATAAAGCATCTTTTGGTTGTCTATATAAATTTTCTTCCAAGTTGCAGGTTCACATAAAAACAAAACCAAAAAGGAATAGAAGTGGACAAATACGTTTTTAAAAAGCCCCTGTGGCCCCATTCACCTGATTCTTTTTAGGGTCTAGGTATTGATGCCAGTATCAATTACCAAGGAAAACCAACCCTTCAAAGAAAAGCTGTCTTGTGTATTGAACAGCACAGAAAGCCACCTGGGTCTGGTTTTTCTAAATACCTCTGGTGACCAGAGCGACAGGTCCATCAGTTTGGGAGACTACGGAATCTGCGTTATATTGTTGGTTAGCATCTCACAGTGCTGGTTTTATTTCCACAGGTATCCACCTCCCTTATCTTTGCTCTTCTAACTGTCAGGAAATTAGAGTGGAAGCAGAGGACAGTAAAACTGAGGAGAGGAACTGGGTAACAGGTTTTCTAATCTGAGTTAGTAGGTGCTGTGACATTTAAGCTGAACTTGTACTGGCTCAGTTAATGGCGCCAAAATCTCCAGAGGCGTTACTTCTTAAACTTCCTGTATGTGTCTCTTGTCCATCTTATTTGTAGATGATTAAGCTTATCCATTTTCAATAATTTTCTTCCCTCTATTTGTCCAAATCCAAGCAAGTTTTTCTTAGTCTGTTATTGGTCCTCAGCAGAATAAGCTGCTCACCTTCCTCTCCTTCATGTTCTTGTGTTTCGGAGTAATTTTAGGCACAGCCAGGCATTTCTCTCACCATCTGTACGGTTGTTAGCCTAATCAAATGTCCTAGCGCTTGCTCCTACCTACTAGAATGCTTTTCCTGCAGCTCCTTCCTGTCGTTCAGATGTGAGCTTGGCTGACAGCTCCTCAGACAGGCTTTTCCAGATCGCCCATTCACCTAGGCGGCCACTCAGTCCTCAGTCACTCCTTAGCACACAACCCTGTTAAAGTGACCTACACAGCATTTATCATTATTTGACGTTTCCTAGTTGTTGGTGTCTATATTTTAATCTCTGTCCTCTCCTATTAGAATGCAAGCTTGTGGAGAGCAGGAACCTTGTCTGTTTTTCTCTTCAGCCCCTGAAACAGGGCCTAGCATATAGTAGATACTCAAGAAATATTTACTGAATGAATAAATGACTGAATGGTGAATGCTTAATGGAAAATAAAGATAAGGCATAACCACAGCTTACTTTTCTGGGCTTCGTTTTCCGCTGGCTCTGGGTCTGTCTGCTCACTGCTCTGTTGGCTGTTGTAGCCGTTGACCACCTGAGTACTCTTTGGCTTAGAGGAGCTACAGCTTGTTTCTTCTTCAGTGCTCTCAGGAGCCGAGGATGCTTCTCCCTCTTTTGTGTCCTCAACCTCATCTTCTTCTGAAGGGGCCAAGAAGTGAAGTTGCAGGCCTGTGAAGTTGGACAGCAGCAAGAACAGCGCCTCAGAGCGAAATAATGCCATGCAGTCCTTCAGGGGGTCGGGAAGCGTGCTCTCCTCAGCTTTCTCATAAAACCTGAAAAGCAGCAAGGTCGGTCGTTCATCAAAGCCAAGGATGTAAAATTACTCGTCAAACTTTGTACCTTTCTTCCTAAATCTTGTCATAGCTTACTAAAGCACATGTTATTACAATAGTGAGATTCTGTTAGGGCCTGCTATTGGCTGTCCCTGAGGCCCAAACATCATTAGGGCAAATGCCCTCTTATTGAAGGTGAGCCTGGCAGACAAACAGGCATGTGCCAAATGCAGACGCAAATGTCTTGGGTGATGGGTTCTACCTTTTGTTGGGGGGACCTCGGCTGCTCCATTTCACATCTCCTTTCTCCAAAGCCTCACAGACCTCTGCAAATTTCTCAGGCTGGAAAACGAGCAAATAAAGAAGCAGTTGGAAATCTCCCTGTGATCCCACACTGGCATTGCGGCCCTGCAGACTCACTCTGGTTGATTCCTCAGGGGGCCAGTTAACCCTCATCCCCTTCACACAAGATTCCCCAGTCTTGATATGGTGAAGCCCAAGCAAAGGCTGGATAAATTGTCGGCATGCTTTAGCCAAGAGACCTGCGTGTTGATTTGGGCCATTTCCGTAAGTAGCTGTTTATCTTATGTCAAATTGTCAACCTCTCAATACCTGCATTTATAAAATGAGGATAATACTCTTCATTTTTTTAAAAAGTTTTATTATTTTTATTTAATACAGACGCTTTAATTGATAAGATGTAAGGAAAAATTAAACTGCATAAGTCAGTGTCGTCGTAAGGAAAACCTCTATAGAACAACACAGATTCCCTAGGCCTCAGCCCATTCCCAGCATTCTAAATTCAAAAGTCAAGTGCAGTACAGAAGCTGATTAACCTACTGAAATATTCTCCACAGGAGGCTTTATATGTACTTGTTTAATGCAGTTTCCCAAGGAGTTTTCTGAAAACAACAGTCATATCAGCTTAAGTAAGAAAAAGGACCCCAAAGCATGGTTTAGGTAAGCTGAATTAAATAGGGTTAAACAAGTTTATTTACTATACCACCACTCAAATTCCTTAATACACTAATGTCAGTTATAAAATTCCAAGAGAGACCATATGTATTATCTTTCAACCTTTTTTTCACGGAGAAATAGCTCCTGGGACTGTGATTTCATGGGACCCAAGGTCAACTGTGAAGCACCACACGTGATCTCATTTGGCTCTCACAGCAACTCCCCGGGGTGGGCAAGGCAGGTGTTTTCCCAGTGTAACGGATGACGAAACAAAAGCTCAGAGAGAGCGAGTGATTTGGTCAGGTTAGTCAAGTCACAGAGCCAGGACATGAATCTAAGGTCTTTTGACTTCTGATCTAGTTCATAATGTGCTGCCTCATCGTTGTCGAACTCTCATTAATAGTGTTCATTAATTAGTAATCTGTCTATCATTAAAACAGTATGCACTGTATTCAAGTGATCAGGAAGGGGATTACACACAGCTTCTCAGTGTAGGAGCTTTTCTGTGTGTGTCTATAACCATTAAGATTCTAGAGAATGGCAGAATACGCAAGGGACTCAACCCACTAAGCATCTAGCTGATACCAATGTTAGAGATTATCATTTCTATATTTTATTTAACATGGAGGATGACATAAGCATTCTAACTAGGAACAAAACAAAACAAAAAGAACAGAAACTATTGGTGCTGCCTCGTTACCCACCCAGGAAGCCAGACTGCATACCAAACGCGATATCCCAGACAGGATGAGCTGACCTACCTTCAGGAACTCCTTTAGGAGGATTTCAGACCTTTCTTCAAACTCGTCTTGAATTTGAATTTGGTAATCCATGTCCAGATAGGTAGGGTTGATCCAATCATACAAAATTTCATGCTTACAAAGAAGCAGCAGATGCAAAAGGTGTGTTAATTCCTATTGCTTTTGTTCTTACATCATTTCATACTAGTAAAATATATGCAAAGCCCCACTTTTTTTTTTTTTTTTTTTTTATTGGGGAATACGTTCGGGAATCGGGGAAGGGGAACAGACAAATTGCTGTCCTTTTTGTTCTTCAGTCTAGCTCGGGCCGTGAATCAAACCGGAGACCCTGTTGCTCAGAGCTCAAACTCTTGAGCGAGCTCTTAACCAACTGAGCCACTCGGCCGACCCAAGCAAATCCCCACTTTTTAACTGTCATCTTGTTAAACATAAAATGCTGGTAAACTATGCCTGAGAAAGACACTATCAAAAGTTTACGAAAAGTGGAAAGACAAGCTCAATGTCTAGTCTCATTATCAGGAATACAGTTTTAAACCAAAAAAAACAAATGATATGCTACAGCTTCTAAAACAAGAAACCCGGCAATGGGAATTTATCCTTACATCTTGCGGGATGTGAGGGCTCCGAGGTATGGGAGGTTCAAAGTAGTTGGGAGGCCTGGGCAGTGAAGGACCATGAAACCAGCCGCTTATAGACAAACGCGACTTTTCTTCAGACAGGACTTCAGACACCTGCAAGGACAAGACCAGCGGCACATCAACACAAAGCAGAGAAGGATTATCAGCCGAGGCACACTAATGTATATTAGGATCCTTCATGCTAGGTGTGAAAACAACCTGGCCAGCTAAGTCCAACAGGAAGCTGTCATATTTAGATAATGGTGACTAAAAGGCACGATCCTTAGTTCTCTATATATTTGTGGCTTACAGTCTTTACCTGGTGAAAGGATACTGGAGACACTTCAAAGAAAACCAGTGTGTTCCACGAAGGGATGAGAGACTTGACAATCTGCTTCGGCTGAAAGTGCTCTGGACCAGGAGACAAGACATCCATGACTGTGATTTCATTCTCATTAACCACTTCCAGGCCACCTCGTTTCACCTTGACAATACTCACATTTCTAAGTGTATCTATATGTACCCTTCAGATCGCCAAATACCACCCCCTTTCCATCTGTTTCACTTGTACTTGCTATTATAGTTCTGCCACCTGACATTTGTTCTTCATTATACCACCCATATACAATATTATTGATGAGGGCTGAACGTTTCCTGGAGTCAACCCCTGGGGCCAGTTATTAAAATAAAAAACGCTGACTTCCTGTCAAATGGACAGGTCCTGACAGATTCACAGCCGTAGGCAGCTTTACATGCTCTCTATCCTTGGTTTGTGTTCAGAAGCCAGGTCTGACTACTCATCTTAAATCGACTCTAATTTATCTCCGGAGTAATGATTATCTCAAACACAACTGAGAGAGCTGGTTGTCAGGGCTGGCATTAACTCCTCTTGCGGTTGTCACTGTCATCAATGGCTTCCATCTCCTTTGAGGCATACAGACATTGTGTATGAGAATTCAGAAGTGGCTGCTGGTGTTGAAGAGCACACATCTGTCTTACCATCAACGCTGTATAGGTCCAGGGTGCCCCCCAAGCTGCTGTCCCAGGAGGGAACCAGGTAAAGGATGAAGGCGATCCGGCGCCCTTCCAGCTCATCATCGTGGCACAGCAGGGCATCTGCAAGTTGAATGCACACCTTCATGTCCCTGCATAGACACCGAGCAGCCGATACCTGACCCTGCACTTAATGCCAGTCCATCTGATACTCATTGTAATATCAGCTCCTCCAGCTTTAAAATGATACAGATTTCTCCTCTCATAATTAAAGAGAGAAAACTGTCAATATTGAGAATTCTAAAAAACATTGAAGAACACGTATGTAGTTAGACCTAGAGATAATCACTAACAATATCTTTACCTATATTCTTCCAGTATTTTTTTCTACATACATGTATTTGCTTTTGAAAAAAATGGTATCCTACAGTGGTTGTTTTATGACCTCCTTTTTTTTTTTTATTACATGGCAAGTGTCTTTCGATATCAATATACACACTTGTCATCTCTTATCTACTAAGAAAGAATGCTTTAATGCACATCACTGCACACAGATCTTTTTTGTACTTTGTTCTCCTTAATTTCTTGAGTTAAACTTCTAAAGCCATTAGGTGGGGCTGAGCAAGGCATGCAGCCGTGCAGGATGGAAGAGGGAGGGAATTCTACAGGAAACTGAGATCGTTTACATGTGGAGGGATTGTTTCGAATAATAAATATATTTAAGATAATGGAAGCCAGGTTTCTCACTGTTGAGGAAACGAATTCCAAATAGAGGAAAGGAGAAATCGAGAATGAACCCTATAATGTTGAATTGGAACTGGAGGAGTCAATGTGAATTCAGTTTCCTATATATCTATATAGATGTTTATGTAAATAAACAGATGTAAGTACAGATACAGAAATACAAAGGTAAATGCATGTGTATGCACACATGTATTTACTGCCTCCTCCCACTAAAAGGGTCTGAGAGAAGTGACACCCTAACAGCAGAAACATCCACAGAGTCCAGATTTTTCTTTTTAAGTATCATTCTTCACTTAACGAAACCAAGGTTCTTGGAAAGAATGGCCAACTCCAGGTCTAGAGCAGGGGACATGTAAGATAATACTGGAAAATCTTGTTTTGCTGGAAAATAAGATATATTAAGAAGGATGGGGACATATCAAAAGGACACAGAAGTCAGTTTAAAGGGGCCGCCCTTGATCAAATCAGGGACAATATGAGCATCGATAAAATGACAGTAACTAATAACCCATTATATACATAGTAATCCATAAATCCACACTGACACAAATGAATAAATAAATGGGGAGAGGAAAAAGCTGTCCTTAAAGAATGACAACAAATAAATGCAGAAGAAATGATTTTATTTTAAAAACCACCATTTGGCAACATGCATACTAATAATTTAGCAAGGAATAATCAGTGGATGCTAGAACAAGTGACTCAAAATTTGAGGAGAAATGGGAAATTTACATAATCTTAAAGTATCTCCTCACAAAATACTTCCCTTACAGAGAGAAAAGAACAATTTACAGAAAACTTGATATCAGCTACCACCCTAGTTAAGTGAACAAAATTAATGTCACTAGTAATATGACACACGGAAACCGTGTGCCACTTGATAAGGGGCAGTAAGAACACAGAATTCTGCAATATTCCTGCCAAAAATGCATGACTTGCGTCTAACCGGGAGGAAGCATCCGACAAACTGAAACTGAGGGAAGTTTTACAGAATAACTCATCTGTAAACCTTCAGAAGCAGCAGGAGACAAGAAGAGGCTGAGGAGCTGGTCCAGGCTGCGCGGGACTAGAGACAAGTGCGTCCTGGACTGCGTCCTTCTGCTGTAAAGGACCGAACGGCAGAGCTGCAAGGAGCCTGTGCATTAGAAGGGAATTCCACGTCAATCTCATTTCATGAGGTTCACGTAGGAGCACGTCCTGGTAGGAATTACTGAAGTTATTCAGGGGTCATAGAGCATCATAATGGCAACCCACTTTCAAGTAAAATAGGAGAAAAATTATACGCACTATGCTTGCCACTTTCTGTAAGTTTGAAATTACTTCAAATCAAAAAGAAAAAAAGTTTAAAAAAGGGCGTATGATATGACTTTTTGTGTGTTACTAAGTTATCCTCAAAAAGTTGTTACTAAGTTAAAATTCCCCAGGACAAGAGTTAAACCCAAAACAAAACACTTTTCCTTCCAGGTGAAAAAAAGAAACATGTTTTCAAAAAGACATTTATGCTCAGAAAGGAACTGGAAAGACGCACGCACTCCAAGGGTGAGAATGGATACCTCTGAAGAGAAAGGCGGGGGCGGGGGGCAAGGACAAGGTGAAGGGGACTATCAAGGTTTACACCGTGCATTTTTATGTTGTTCGAATTTTTTCCTTAAAGAGTATATTCACTTACTACCATGAAAATTAAAAAAGGAAAGAAGAATAAATGACATTAGGGGAGACATTTGGTCCCTAAGAAGTCTAAGAGGAGAGTTTACAGTATCTAATATTATCTAATTTAGAATTTCCTGATATTACATGGAAAGTTGTGTACTTGTATGTGCATTATCGGCACTCTTCTGAAAAAATGGTCAATAGCTTTCATCATATTCCCAAAGAACCACTGCCTTACGCCTTCCAATATGCTGGGCATTTCTGTATGAGCTGGGTCAGACCTTCCTTATTAAGAAAAGTCCACATACTATGCAGGGATGCGTGGCCTAGGATTTTGATACACTGACGCTATCTTTCCACCATTATTTAGGTAAAGCCTTTAGATGTTACACACATCAGGGCTTTATCTTTCTTACCTGAGAACTCATATTTAGCACAGGACATGTCAATGGTTGATTCCAGGTCAATCTTGGAAATGTCAGAAAGCCAAGCCCGGAAATCTTGAAACAGAATTTTCCTAGAAATGTAAACAAAAGATGCCTTGTTATGCCCCAGTATGGGCTCCATTTGGATCTGTGCCACAACTCAATTCCTCCTGGAGGTTGTGGTATACTCAAGAGATCCATTCCTGAGAATGGTCCTCACTTTAAACTTGCATAGTTTAGGATGAGTATTTCCAGAGCACATCCTTAATTATTTCCTCAAGATAAACTCTTATAAGTGGAATTACACTACAAAAAGATAAGCCTAATTTTTAGGGTTTTGATACATCTTTCAAAACCATCTCCTAAGAAAGACTGCAGCAGTGTATAAAGGAATCTACACTTCCTGTCAGCACTGGAGATTTTGTTTTTAATATTTGCCAACCTAATATGCAAACAATGGTACCTTCAGTGTTACTCTGTTTTCCTTGACTACTAACGAGGCTGAACATTTTATCACTGAGAACTTGGGTCCTAGAAGCAGACTTGAGTTTGTATCTTAGCTCCCTTGATGTTTACTTAGGCAGCTTTGAAGAAGTTATTTACTTTCTCGGAGTCTGTTTCCTCCTCTAGCAAATGGGATAATAATGGCAGCAAAGATTGCATAACATAACATGGAAAGCATTTACTAGCCAGCTGGCACATATTAGGCACCCAACAAATATGATGACTTGTTTACCTTAAAGCACAGATGTGAGGCTCTTTTCTCTTCTTCAAATCGTCAGACTTTATCATGAAAAAAGAAAAAAAGGATTTCCTTCACGTTAGACACACACAGGAGCGGAGGTGAGTGAGTACGCTGGCAGTATAGCGCTGTGATTAAGACTCTGAAGCTGAACTGCCTAGGTTTGAGGCATGGCCCCTCCATTTGGCAGCTCTGACTCAGGCAAGTTCCTTAGCTTCTCCATGTCTTCAGCAAATACTTATATAGTTAGTACAGTGGAGCTTATATTCTTGTTGAGGGAGATAGACAATAAACATAAAAAGTCAATTATTAGTAATAAAAGGCGATAAATGGGCCGGCCGAGCGGCGCGTTGGTTAAGAACTGGCTTGGGATGCCAGAGGGCCCCGGTTAGGATCCCACATATGAGGGCCAGTGACACTGCCCTCCACAGCTAAGATGCTGAACAACAGCTCAACCTGGAGCTGGGCTGCCAGGAGTCACCAGTGACAGCATAGGCTGCAGCCCCTACTGCAGTGGGTTGTCATGGGCTACCGTGTGTAGCCAGCAGCCAGCGTGAGCGGCCATCCAGAAGCCGGCGACTGATCTGCCTCGCCAGGGAAGAGCGCAATGATGGTGCCAACTTGGGCCAGTGAAGCAACAGCCTCCACAACTAGACTGAAGAACAAAACGACAGCAACTTGTCTGTTCCCCTTCCCCCAATTCCCCAATGCTGTTCCCATCCCTCAATTCCCCAATAAAAATCTTTAAAAAAAAAGGCGATAAATGCTCCCTGCAGCCACTAATCGACTTTCTGCCTCTCCCTTTATTTGCCTAACCTGAATGACATAGGAACGGAATCATACAGTCTGTGGCCTTTTGTGTCGAATTCTTTCACTTAGCATGTTTTCCAGGTTCACCTGTTGCAGCAGTATTAGTACTTCATTCCTTGTTCTGGCTGAATAGTATTCCATTGGATGGATAGGCCACATTTTGTGTATCCATCCATTAGTTTATGGACATTTGGGTTGTTTCTACTTTTTGGCTATTATGAATAATGCTGCTATGAACACTTGTGTACCAGTTTTTCTGTGAACATGTTTTCAGTTCTCGTGGGTCCATTTTCATTTTAAAAGAATTATTATGTGGGGGGCAAGGGTAGAAGCAGGGAGACTGGTTAGTACATTGATGGAATGATCCTGGGGAGAGACAAAGATGGCTTGGACCAAGTATTGGCTGCTGGCCGTGGAAGCAGAAAGAAGTGGGTTTTTCTGGATATGTTTTGAAGGTAGAATTTCCTGATGAACTGGGTGTGAGGTATGAGACAGGAATCAAGGATGACCTCAAAGTTTTTAGCCAGAGCCAGAGGAAAAATCGAGTTGCCATTAACCGGGATGGGTAAAATTGCAGATGGAACATTTTTATGGGAAGAAGATCAGGAGTTTAGTTTTAGACTTAAGTATGAAACAATTAATAGAGATCCAAGATTAGAGGCAAGATTAGGGGCTCCTGGAAATCTGCTTGGTCCAGGGGCTAAGCCCTGGGGCACTTTATCATTAAGAAGTCAGGGACAAAAGGAAGACCCACTGAGGGAAACGAGGAAGGGCTCGCCAGTGAGGGAGAAAGAAAACCAGGAGAGCATGGCATACTGAAAGTGAAAAAAAAAGGTCTCCAGAAGGAAGGAGTAACACAGTAGGTCCAATGCTGCTGAGAAGTCAAGGAAAACCAGCCCTAAAACTGGTGATTGAATTGACTGATGTGGATGTTGCGAGTGCCCTTGAAGAGTGCAGTTTCAGTGGCGTGTACTGGGTGAAAGCCTGTAGTGGCGCGCTTACCAGAATGGGAGGAGAGGACTTGGGGACAGTGCCGACAACTCTACTGTGCAGACAGCATGCTACTGTCAAGGGAAGCAGAGTAAAGGGGTGGTAGTGTCAGGGGAAAGGTAGACCCAGAGCATTTTTTTTCTTAAGATGAGATGATCAGCTTTTGTTTTTGTACATTGAAGAGAATGATCCAGAAGAGAAGGAAAACCTGATGTACAGTTTCCCCATCTGTAAAACAGGCATAGTAATGTATGTCCTTCATAGGACTGTTATGAGCACTTAATGGATTAATAAATATAAAGCACTTAGCATGGCATAAAGCAGGCACTGAATAATGCTTGCTTTAAAATAAATAGAGAACATGGGGCTACTGCTCATGACAAACTTGGTTAAATGGACTGGAAGATGTTAGGGACCCAATTATCAAGTCCATTCACAGCACAAGCAAAGGAAAAGGGATATAGGCGAAGTTTGAAGGGACCGGAGACTGAAAAAGGTTTTATATTCACTGTATTAGGATGAAGTTCTTTCCCAAAGTGAGCATAGCAAAAATTATTCACAGCAGAGTTTCACCAAGCACCGATGGGGATCTAAAGTAATGGCTTTCCCCCCACTTCATCACCCAGGGCCCTTTTTATTATTTTGCCTCTCACTGACTTCACAGTTAGATGTATTTTCATCTATCAAATTGCATTAAGTAAAAACCACTTTGATTTTTCAATTTTAGCATAGTTCTAAATCCACAAAAGAAGCTTGATGTTGTATAATTAAAAAGGAAGACAACAATGGTTTTTAATAAACTATGCAACTTTACTATGGATAAAAGTTAATTTTCATTCGATTTCTTGAATTATGAGTCACATCATTCATTTGTTTAACCTGGTTAATTCAATCACATGTCCAAGGCTCAAAGTGAGATGGGACACAACCAGCTGACCAGGCAATCAGCTCTGAGTAAAAGAATAAAAGTAAGAAAAAGAGAAACATTATTTACTCTCGTCTCAGATAAACAGATAACAAAGGGAAATGCAAAGAACACAAAATAATTCTTCATTTTAATTTTATTTTTTTGTGACTTTTTAAGGGCTGATGTCCTTGAAGTTTTATAAAAGATTTCCAAGAATGATGTATGCTATATACTGAAAGATATCTCCCCAAACTGGGGAAACCGATGACCTATATTTCTATACCTAGTTTGGGCCTGTCTTCTAAGAGTAGGAAAACCAGCCTTGACTTTCAGACAGTCTCTTCTGCCAAATTAGATTGCGCACCAGAAAAAGAATGGCTCTAACGCTCTCTCTCCAGGACATACTGCGGTGAAGAGCATACTGCAATACATCAAGCCACCTAAATATGAACTCAAAAATTTAAATGGTTATTATCTTCCAATGTACAACCCTCTTCAGGATACCACTTCCCAAAATATGCTTAACCCCTTTGTTTATAATGTACTTACTTCTTGGCTCACCACCACTATCACCTTTATTATTTTAGATTTTAAAGTCTTATAGGGCAGAAACTGGCAAAGACTCCCATAGGCAAATGACAGCACCTAACACATAGTTAACACTCATAAGCTTAAGTTAAACGAATGAATGCTTTTAACAACATCAAGGCAAGGACCCTCCAAGGCAAACCCAATCAAACACCTCAAGGCTAAAGATATTGACTGATTTTATAGACAATAAATTTCTGAAATGGAAGAGCTAATGGAAAGGGGCATAAATACCTGCTGAAACTTATATAAATCGTTATACTTTTCATGGAAGTCCAAGTTCAAAAGTTCCTTTTGAAGCCCTTCCAAGAAGCTTTGGCTTTGGATGAAGTTTGGGATCACGCAGTGAAGAAAGGGTTCCATGTCCATGACAATGGCTTCTGTTGGAAAGAAAACAGTGTGGCTTTCTTCCTTTTGTATCTTTGACCCCAGTAGCATAGTAAAGAGAGTACAAAAGGGGATGGTCATAAATTTTCAAACTTAGTACCTAAAGTCTAAGATATGTGGGAGGGATTATAAGCTCTTCCCTTTCTTCTTCATCCACTCAATACTACTTTTTAGAGGTAACTGTGTTTAAAATATTACACTTAAGGTCAGTACAGGTGATATCACTAAAGTAAGGTTCCTGCCCTTTTGGGGGTTTTCGTTTGTTTGTTGTTTTAGTTCAATGGTTACTTGTTGAATTGAATGTATTTTAGAATCTTAATTTAGTTCCCCCAAAACTTAAAATGAGAGTAGCAAATTAAAAATGAGAATAGCAGTGCCGGCTGGAAATGTTCCTTCAATCCTTTTTCTTTCCCCAAGTTACTGTCTAAGGAAGTTACTATATATATTTGAATCAGTTCAGGCATAATTTCCTCTAACTTCATGATTTCTCCCCCAATATTTTACCCACTGCCTCCGGTGGGCTACATTACGTACCCCTGTAAAAATCATCATCACCACCATCTACCAAGCACATGGCACCAGTGGTGCTTTACACGCATTATCTCACTCAATCTTCTCAACAACTCGAAGGTCGACATGATCACTATCTCCATCCTAACAGATGAGGAAATTGAGAAGTCCCCGAGTGTACAGAAATTGCACTTTAAACACGTTCACAATCCATGTACACCGAGAGCACCCAGGGCTCACCTCTTCAAAGCACTTAACTGAAACAAAAATCATGAAGAAATTTAAAAGGGAGAGCATGATGCCTTAAGCAGAGTTCTTATCCTATACGGTGATATGTGAAGCTGAGGTTGGAATCGTTACTTGTTTAGGTTCCTTCCCGCGGTCAACACACGTTTATTTTCATAGATCATGTAGAGGTGAACTACAGGCGCGTAAAAAAATGAGTTCGCTCAGGTGCCCGCCCCCTAACAGCTCGCAATAAATGCTATGGCTACACTATCATGGGACAACCGAGCATTACCCTCGCAGGAAATAGCACATAAGCCACTCAGATATGTGTCTAAATGCTTATCGGTCTTTACTCAGGAAAAAAAATTTTATGCATACATGCATTAGCTTATTAATCTCATTCAACATCTTTCCGAGGTAAATACTATCAGCTATCCCATTTTACAAAGGAAGGAACTGCAATTTTAACAGGTTAAATCCATTGACAACGACGCACCGTGGAGAGGGTTCTAACTTAGTAAAATCCTGGGTTCCAGAATTCAACTATGAACTTTCCTGCCTTTTACTTCCCAAAACTCTACGGCCTACACTTTTTCGTCTTCTCAAGTTTCCAAATGCAAACTGAATTTGGAACGAAAGTTAGCAGCAGGCCAGGCAGGAGAGTGGGAGGTGGCCAAAGTCACGCTTTCTCCAAGAGCTCTTCCCTGTGGCCCCACTGCCCAAAACTCGGCTAGAGTGCCAGGACTTTCAGAGGCCCCCCCCCAAACCAAGGCGCGGCAGCTTGCGCTTTACAGCACACAATTACCGTGATGGAATGGCGTCCTGCGGCTCCAGGCCTCAGCCACTTGCTTTTTCAAGATTTCCTCGATGACAGCATCCGAAAACTGCGCCATCACCTCCTTCTTTTTCTTTTTCCCCGTCAGGCCGAGTCCGGGCTCAGCTGGTCGTTTCCCATTCATCTTCTCAGAAGCTTCAGACCCACGCCACGCAGATCAAGCAGCTATTTTTCTACGGAGACTACAATTCCCAGAATGCTCCCTTTCCCAGCACCATCCAATAGGAAGTATCAAAGTAGGAGGAGGCGGAACCCATGCCTAATTTACCAATGGTAGCTCCAGGTATTGCGGCCGTCCACCAGCGGTCGGTCCAATGGTGCTCAGCCTGGCAGGCCACCGCCTCCCTACTTCCTGCCGCCACAGGCTCGGTATGAACTTCCGGCGTGCATACGCCTCTTCTTGCGTTCTCATGTTAATGGCGGGCGGCGGCTGCTGAGTGGGACGAAGATAACCGCTGTTGGCACCGGGAAAGTCTCCCTGCCTCCCCTTTTCTGCTCGCCGCCAGTACCCGAACTCGCCAGCATGTCCGTGGTGCCGCCGAATCGCTCGCAGACCGGTTGGCCCCGGGGGGTCAACCAGTTCGGCAACAAGTACATCCAGCAGACCAAGCCCCTCACCTTGGAGCGCACCATCAACCTGTAAGCATGTCTTGGCCTTCGCGCGCTGCCTTCTCGGTTTGTCTTTCTAGTGAGAGTTCCTAAAGACCCCGACTTTTCCGGCGCGACCCCGGCGCTCCGCGGGTTCCACGCCTCCCCACCACCCCCACTTCGCCCTCAAGCCCACGCCTTTCTAACCTCCGCAGGCCCCTTCCTTGTCCTTCAGCGCTGAGGGGTTAGAACCTTTAAAAGCGTTTTCCTTCCCGGGAAGAAGGCTTGTTCCCATGCCGCTGTATTCAGCCATTATAGGAAGAAGCCAAGTTTGCTTTGAACTCCTCCTTTCCCCGCACGTCTATAGAGAGAAGCCACCGCAAAACGTGGTGTTTATTTTTCTAGCGGTAAGCTTTCGAGCCCTAGTTATAACACGAGGATGTAGTTTTTTCCTCTTAAGTGCTGTATTGCATTTCAGCTCATGAAGACATTTGACTCGTCTGCTTAGGGCTAATTAGCCTGCCTTATGCATTCACATGTCTTCTCTGCCGCAGCGAGAGCATCCGTGCACCCGTTAGGCAAGGGAGGGTGGATGCTGTTATGGTTGAGTTTTCAGACCGTCGTGGGGTCTAGAATGTAGCCCCAGGGAACCCATTGGGGCTGCGTTTTATGGTCAACACCTTTCTCTTTAAGCACTTCAAGCCATTGCATTTCGAGGTCACTCTCACGAGGAATCATGGCAGGTAATTGGCATTTGGGCTGTGATTTGATGAAGAAATTGTCAGTATGCTCTTTTATCGTTCCTGAGAGTTTGTGAGGCACTGTGATGCCGACCTTAGTGGAGGAACTTAGAGGCCACTTAAATGCTGGTCAGTATTTAAAAGGTGCGAGGATTTACTGATATTAGTGTTTCGGTAGGACACGTTAGGTATTTCTCTGTTTTATATTCAAATAAATGAACTTTTCTCTTTCAAAAGTGATTTGAAATTGAAAAGGTGGTTATTATTGTTTTATTTGGCAAAACAGGTCCTGGCTTGGAAATTTAGATAATAAAAATGTTGGGTTTGTGAAATCTGGAATTAGTAGATAATTGCATATGTACAAGTTAATGCCTCTAGCTATTGCATTAACATAATAACATTTTAATTTCATATCACTTATAATCCTCATAAGATTCCCATGAAGTGGAAAAGGCAAATGTTCTCCATTTAAAAAATGTGAAAGCACAGCTTCTGGATTACTTTAGTGGTAATTAGAACTAGGACTCAAACAGTTCTCCCTCGATTTGTCTTGATTACTGGATCAATTTGCATTAAGCTATTATGTACAGTTAACTTGGTGGAAATGTTTTAATCTTTGCTCCATTAAAGTTATGGGTTGATGGATTTACAGTATTTTGCGCCGCGTCTCCCCCCCACCCCCCAACCCCCCACCAGGTACTGGGCATAATGCTGGGTATACAGTGTGAAGGAAGTAAGATGTAGTCCCTCTTTATAAAGCTCACAGTGTGATGGAAAGAATATGTATGTGTCCAGGCTGGTACTCTGATTTCAGAGCTGAAAATGCCATTCCATCTTGATTGCGTTTCTTCATTGATGTAAGAGCTGGCTCTTGCAGTAGAGATGTATTATAACTATCCTTAATTCTTTATAACTTGGTTTGTTGAAACTAAATAATATATATAAAGCATTTTTTAAATAATTGCCGGGTACCTAGTACTGTGTGAGATTGCTGCTGCTATTGATGACAATGTTAGATTCAGCAGTAGACCTAGTGGGGAAGTTCTTTCTAAAAATCTTTAAAGCACCTTGGAAATGGTATATTTTAGTTATTTTAGAGTTTCTTCATTTATGCCTAGAATTTGGCTTTTGGAATTTTTAAAGTTTTGGCAACCGTGATTTGTTCCCCTTTTAAGAATAGCAGAGTAGATTAATTATGTAGTTACTGACTTAATATCAAGGCATTTGTATAGAATAAGATATCTTGGGATAGGCAGGTGTAGCTCAAACATTCTTACTCAAAGGCTTATAATCAAAGGCTTCTTACTGTAAGGCTTATGATTGAGGGTTTACAAGGTGATATGTGCGATAAAATGTAAATATGGTATTTTTAATGACCTTTAAGGAAAATGTGATCTTTACTAGGCAAAATGAAAAGCCTTCAAAAATATGAGCCTTATTTTGAATTCTTGATAAAGGAGGAGAGAATATTCAGATTAGGTATAGCGGGCAGACGATTTGAATGAGGAGAAAGTAAGAATGAGGATAATGAATAGAACAAATACAGAAGACTAAAAAAGTCGGGGGGGCGGTATTCATCTGAAGAGGAAAGGATTGTTAGTGCTCCCCAAAAAGTCTGAGGATAGTTGACTGAGAGAAATGGCAAACAACAGGAGAGATGATGGAAAGTGGTGGCTCAGCTTGTAGAAAAAGAAAGATGAGCCATTATCACCCATAATTAATAGAATTTCTGGTTAGATTACTAGCCTGAGGAGCCTAAGGGGGGGCATTAGCTGGTTGGCAGTGTCGGTATACCAGCCATGATCTACAACCAGAGGATTATCAGATGCCCAGATAGCCACTTCTCTAAGCATTTAAGGGCCTTTAGGATAGTGCTGTCTACCGACACTTGAAAGTTCAAGTGTGGAGTTAGCAGCTTGATCTAATAAAAGCTCTGGTTTTAGAGTCTAAAGACATGGATTCTATTCTCTGCTCTCTCATTAACTAGTTATATAACTTTGGGTAAATCTTATGTCTCTGAGTACAGTATATACTTTTTCACCATGATTTTTTTTTTAATGTGTTGGTATCTGTTACTGTAAATTATAGTCTTCAGTTCTCATGCTAGATGTTTGTGTTTGGACCACAGGTATCCTCTTACCAATTACACTTTTGGTACAAAAGAGCCCCTCTATGAGAAGGACAGCTCTGTTGCAGCCAGATTTCAGCGCATGAGGGAGGAATTTGATAAAATTGGAATGAGGAGGACTGTAGAAGGGGTTCTGATTGTACATGAGCACCGGCTACCCCATGTGTTACTGCTACAGCTGGGAACAACTTTCTTCAAATTGTAAGTGTCATTGGAAATTAGCAGCAAGACAGCGTTTAATAGGATTGCTGTTTTATGGAGCTGTGGACTACAGTTTTAGCCCTTAGTCATTTATCTCAACAAACATGGTTGTTCATGGAGTCTTTAGAAAGAGAAAATCACAAGTAATTTTTCTCCAGTGCAGTGCTCATTTATTGCTTAACTAGAAATCTGCATGTTTCTGTATATTGTTGATGTTACTGACCGAGCTTGATAGGAGCCCTGTTAAACACAAATTGGCCCAGTTTCTGTTACTAGGTGTCACTGTAGCATTACTAGAACAGTTGATTGCTAGCCTTAAAATGGCTTACATTTTTACAGATAATTGTTTAGTTTTATCATGTAAGCTCATAAATTTCTCGATATACATTTAGTTCACAGCTGTTTGACTAGATTGTACCAAAAGAGAGGTCTCAAATGTTTAGAATGCTGGAAAAATGCCCTATTCTTCAGACCTAAAGAATGCGATTCATTGCTTTCTGGGGATTTCTAGACTCCATTATTTATGTTATGGTACAAATTTTGTTTAAAATTAGCATTTGTATACCATTAGTCTGGTGAATTAACATTATGAATTCAACTCTTGATCTCTAGCACATTCTTCCCCCTCTCTTTAACATTTGTTTGCTGTGATTGCCTTATCAGGTGACATTTATATATATATAACATATACAAATGTGTTATATAGTTACTTGATAAAAATTTGTCTTCCTCCTGTTATCCCCAAACTGTATTAAGTTGAAAGCTGAAATTCTTAACCTTTATGCAGACCTGGTGGTGAACTTAACCCAGGAGAAGATGAAGTTGAAGGACTAAAACGCTTAATGACAGAGGTACTTTTTTGTTTAACCACTTTGACAGTTTTATTATTGTCTATCTGAATGTCATTAACTTAATGGATGATTAGGCTTTTTATGTCTTGTGAAAAGGATGAGTTTATTTTGAATGTTTACTTTTCAATAAATAGAACTTAAATCCCACAATGTTAGTATGTACAATGTTTATTTTTTGCGAATTGAACTTATCCTTGCTTTATTGTAACATTTTTGTTTTCATTGAAATGTTGATGTAACAATAATCGTTAACAAAAGCCAACATTTATTAGATACCTGCTGTGCTAGGCACTACGTGTTTTACATGTGGTAACTCCTTTAATCATTACAACAGCCCTAGGAGGTAGGTATTATTATTAATCTCATTTTACTAAGGAAACTGGGGCACAGAGGGTTCAAGTGATTTGCTAGATGTTATACAGCCAGTATGTCGTGGAGCGGAGATTTGAATGCAGGCAGTTTTGTTCCAGAGTAGACCTCTCTAGAATTTGGACAAGAGAATGATTCCTGTTATTTACCTATTTTCATTTCTGCACATCTTTTAGGCGTTGCTCAGGTTGCACTACTTTTTAAAAGTCATTCTCATGTCTGCCAAATGCATAGATGCTGGAGGTTTTTGAGATTATAGGTGGTTTTCGTTATTAAATATTTTTCTTTTTAGCATGCAACCTGCCCCTCCCCCACACCTTTAATTACAGAACTCATATTCTGTGCAAAAACCTTGGCAAATACAGAAAAGTAAGAGAAGAAACCAAACTAAAATTACCTGTAATTCGACCACTTTGACCTATTGGTTTGTCTTTCTAGGAATGTTTTAAATGGATTGTAACTCTTAAATATTGTGCTGTTCTTGGGTGTTCATTTACATATGGTAGATTGAACCTACCTGCTCACCTCAGCTCTTTCTCAAAACCACCAAAAAGGCAGTTTAAAAAGATAAAAATCTAGTAGGATTGAGGGGAGTGCAAGATGAGACAAAAAATTTTAGAAGCTGGAAAACAGATGGACAAAAATCATAACTGACTTAGCAGAAACCTCAGCAAAGCAGGAGGACAGGTCAGGACCCAGCACTGCAGAATACCAGAAAGGCTGAGGAATTGGAGGTGCCTGCTGCCTGTGAAAGTGGGGCCATGCCTGGACTGAAAACTGGATTGATTGACAGCCTGCATAGGATGTATTTATATATCTAGATTGTCTTCCCCACTCCGTACAATTAGGCAAGTCTGGCTGGTGATGGATTTTCTGTAGAGATTGAATCAGAAAAAACTAAGCAATGAAAAGATTGAAATGGGGAGAATAATCAAAGGTTTACATCCAGACTAGTGAGACTTCTAGACTTCTCCTACTAGTCTGATAGAGAATTGACAACTAGATTTGCTTCGGGCTGGAGGTTGGGCGGGTTTGTTTCTGGAGAAAATGACTAATGAAAAAAATGCAAAAGCAAACAAAAGCCCCAAAATAAAAAACTCTCCAAATGATGTTTAGGAATCTTCCCAAAGAAATGTGGAGCCCAATCACTCATGTACACAGAGGTGACAATTAAGCATCTTATTACTTTCCCCTTAATTGTGAGCAGATAACCATGTATCATCAGGCTTTGGGAGAAAGCCTCTTAAGAAAGAGATCGAAAGAATTAAAAGGAACTCAGCAGAAACAAAGTTCAGCGATCAACAAAATCATGGTTGATATTCTTGGTGTGGTAAAATGAGATATTGCATCTATGAAACAGTGTGCCATTAAAAAAGACATTCAGCCAACAAAAAAGAACTCACGAATATTTTTCAAAAAGTTAGCAGAATGAAAAATTCAATAATGAGTTAAAAGATTGAGTTAAGGAAATCTACCAGAAAGTAGAACAAAAAGATAGAACATAGGTAAGAAAAGATAAAATTGGTAGATCATTCTAGAAAGCCATATATAAACTACAGTTGACCTTTGAACAACACAAGGGTTAGGGGCGCCAATTCTCCTCACAGTCTAAAATCCACATATAACTTTTGACTCCCCAAAAATGTAACTAATAGCCTACTGTAGACCAGAAGCCTTATTAATAACGTAAATAGTCGATTAACACATAATTTTGTATGTTATATGTATTATATACTGTATTTTACAATACATTAAGCTAGAGAAAAAAACGTTCTTAAGAAAATCATAAGGGAAAGAAAACATTTATAGTACTATATGTATTAAGTAGACCCATGCAGTTCAAACTGTGTAGTTCAGGGGTCAACTGTATAGATAAATAGAAAAGCGAAGAATTTACAAAGTAATAATTTAAGGAAATTTCCCAAAATCAAAGAGCATAAACTTTCAGATTGGAAAGAACTACTGGTGTGCCCTCTATAATAAATGTTAAAAGATCCACACAAAAGCCTATCATGAAATTTTAAATCAGTCAGGATAGACAGAAAATCCTAAAAGCTTCCATAGTTTGTGGACGGGGAGAGGAGATGGGTTAAATACAAAGCATCAAAATCAGAAATGTCATTCAGTTCCCAGAAATCATACTGGAAGCTAAAAGATCATGGAACAGGCTTTCATAAAGCGGAGACAACGTGATTTCTGTCCTAGAATTTTTTGTCTAATCAAACTAAATCAAGAGTGCACACAAAATAAAGTTATTTCCAGACATGTAGTTTCCAAAAATGTGATATCTTTAGTACCTTTTCGCAGGAAGATAGTAGAGGGTGTTCACCACCAAAATGAAAGAATAAACTAAGAAACAAGATACGGGATTCAGACTAGAGAGGATCTAACACAGGAGAGAGGCAAAGGGAAGCCCTAGGACTTTGGCTGTGGAGCAGAGCTGAGAGCATCTATGGATTGGAGCAGGATGATAGAAAAATGTCTCTTAGGAAAAAGGAAACTGACAGGATAATTGATGTTTGAATTGAGAAGAAATTTAAGCTCTTGTGGAAAATGGGATGAATTAGTGATAGCAAATGAAATGAAACAGTTATTAACTCAAAAAAAAAGGGAGAGTTTAGAAGTAAGGAAATGTAATTATAGTTACTAAATGCTCTGTCTGGTTCACCTAGTCATATTCATTTAAATGCTGAATATTGACTTAAATATTGATAATAGGATGGTGGAAGAGAATGTATGAATGGGGGGGAGGGTGTGGTTTTAAGATTAAATTCTTATCCACAGTAGAGGGTGCCAATCTGTTCTTATTTTAGGTTTTTAAAAATGAAAAGTAATAAATGGTCACAAAAATATATTAAAAATGAAATTTCACAGTGGAGAAACCTGACAAACACTACCTCAGCCAGGTGATCAAGGTTAACATCAGCCATAAGTCATGTTGGTTGAACGTACCCTTGAAGTGATGTGATGAGAAGGGCACTTCTCCTCTGTGATCTTCCTTCCCAATCTCCCCAAAATCCATAACCCCAGTCTAATTGAGGGGCATTCTACAAAATACCTAACCAGTACTCATCAAAACTGTCAGGATCATCAAAAACTGGGAAAGTCTAAGGAGATAGGGCAACTAAATATAATGTGATATCCTAGATGGGATTCTGGCATGGAAAAGGACATGAGGTAAAAACTAAGGATATCTGGATACAGTGTGGACTTCAGTTAATAATAGGCATCAGTATTGGTTCATTAGTTGTGACAAATGTGCCCTACTAATGTAAGATGTTTATAATAGGGAAAACTGGGTGGGTGTGGAATACATGGGAAGTGTCTGTACCATCTTTGCAACTTCTCTGTAAATCTTTTTTTTTTTTTTTTTTTTTTTTTAA